AAATGGCTCAAGTAGGAATAGAAGACACATAGACCAAGTTTGATTATAAAGCAAACATCATTCCACTTGGCCTTACGATCTATCTGGTAAGTGTTTGCCAATAAGGATATTTGGGTAGCAATAATTTTTCCAAAGTTTTATTTGTCCAGGTAGGCCCAAGCAAACATGCAAGGGGAATATATTTACCGGCTCCTTCAACTAGTAATTTAAATCAAAATCACATTTTAGGCTAAATGTGTGTGTGTGTGTTTTTGATTTCAAGTTTCTCCTAGCAAACATACTGTTATTTAGTTGTACAAACTATACTCAGGCTTGAAGGATTCAAAATAATGCAAAGTCTATCTTCTTGTTTCTGAGCGACTCTGAGTTATCATTCTTAGAAAACTCATACGCTATAATCAATAAATGCTTAATTCATTTAACAAATCTGGCTTTGTTCTTAAGATTGAACTTAAAAAAAAATGAAAAAGTTTATAAACAACTTAAAGGACCTGCATTTGTGAGCTGCCTTTTTAAATAGGAATAACTTTCTTCATAATTACACAAACACAATTTCATTCTGAAAGCTTTATGGCTCTAAATTTTTCTAAATAATAATTAATTGATTTAAATCCTATCTTGATGAAAGAATCCAAGCAGTTAAGATTAATTTCTTCATCTTTCACTATCTAATGTACCCAAGAGGCTATTCCAAAGAGCTCAGCACTCAGCCCCTATTGATTATAATTTATATAAATGATCTGTTTCTCTCCAAAACTACTGAGGAAGTACAGCAGACACACAAATCAGTGGGCCGGTAGGAACACACAGAAAGGCCTCTCTCTACGTGGCTATTATGAAAGCTGATTTAATTATTTCTTTTAGAAGTTTAATATGCAAAAAGTTAACTTCTAGAAATATTCAGACTATTGCCAGATGGCTATGAAAATTGTTTTTCATTAAATTGGACTGTTTAAGTTCTCCAGGCCATGAATCCAAAGACAGTTTAATCATAGTCAGAGGGAATTGTAACTCTGGAAAACTAAGCAGAACCTCCTAGCCAGAGCTCTAATGATATTATAAATGAAATAAGACCACATGATCTGCAGCCAGCCTCAAGAAGGTAATACTAGTCATCTAGGGTCGAACACGAGAGGCTCATCAAAGGTAGGCTTGTGGGAAATTCCTGGATAGTATCTTGAAGAAACAGAAGATAGAATCTATCTTTAGCAGAGAAGGAGATACATGGTGTGATCTTTGGGTTGTGCATGCCATTGAATTATAATTATGGTTTCAAATTTTCTATTCATTTACCAATCCAAGGAACATTTATTGAATACTTTATTAATTGTACAAAGCTTGGGTATGAAGTAATGCAACTGATTTTGAACACAAACTGCTAGATGAGTGACATTTTCACCTGCATCTTCGTAAGAAGTTTTCTGGGATGTTATCAAATTCTTAAGATCTTTGGGGAACCCATCTTGGCAAAATGTTTTCAGAATCAGTTACTAAACAATGTAAGAAAATATTTTATTACTTCAGAAGTGGATATCTTAAAAGTATTATGACTGAATTTTGTGGGTTGGTGACTTAGTTCAGGATTTATGATAAACGTGAAATAGAGAAATTTCAAAGCTACATGACAATTGCATAGAAGTGTGATATAAATGCAAACCTCAACAATGTGATTGAATTGTGAAGCCCTCTCGTGTCCCATGGTACAGAAGATGTTTGATGGTATTGTTAGAGACTATCATGGCATTTATATTTGTGCATTAGGGATCTATTTCACACACACACACACACACACACACACACACACACCATACATATCTAAGGAGAAAATAAATCTTCCCAAAGTTTTAAATAGATCTGATGTATTCGCTGTGTCTCCAAACACTAATTCCAAAGGTAGTCTAGAATTGCTAATTGTTTTGTTACAAATAAAGTTAGAGCCATAGAATAATCATCTAAATAATGTCAGAATTTGCAGACATTGGGGAGACGCAAAGTTTTCCATGAGTAAATAATAAAGAACTTGCACAATATATATTGAGTAAGTGTAGAGGAAAGACTGCACTGAAGCCAGAAGGATATATCTTGCCTCTGGAATATTGTGGAATATACAGAAGACATTTCAGATTGTAAACAACTGGTTAAAAGTTGTACCTGATGTTAAGAAAATGGAATTTAAGCCTGATAACAAAGAGCTGCATTCTGGCCTTCCATATTCTTATATGCAAATATATCAATCACGATTCTCATTAAGAATGCAGATTCAGTAATTCTTAATAAATGATTTTGTCATAGTCATAAACATCTTTAGTGATTATTATAAAGACAGCACAACTAAGGGTGTCCACTTTATTATCACAAGTTTCTCTCAGAATTAATGTATAGTATCCTGGTAACTTCTCCCTTATAAACTTCTGACTGAAGGAGATTTCACTAACTGTTGAACTGTAACGTGTATAAGCTTAAATTCAAAGGACCCAATAAAGAGATTATCTAGGGCAGATGACAATGTGTGGAGTCCATGCACATGTTTCCATTTGATCTTTTCTTAAAGAGATTAAAATACATACTTTATAAAATTTATAATATAAATATACTATATTTATAAATGCCCCCAAGAATTTGTAGAAAGAAAGAAGGAAGCACAAAAGGAGCTCTCATGGTGATTTTATAGCCAGAATTGAGTAAGGTTGCCATACCAGAAATGACTACATACCATTTTAAATCAGATTACACCCATGGCCAGGAAGGAGTTAATTTACAAATAAACTTCTAAAAATATTTCTACGTATGCAAAACTAAGCAGCTGGATTTTATGCCAAGTTACACTATTCTTTGTGGTTTTTTTTTTTTTTTTCTATTCCTTCAGGAAACAGTGCTTTATTGCATACCTGTGAAACACTTTGTTTCTGTAAGAATATACTTTTGAAAGAATAATAGCAATGAACACAGGTAACATTTATTGAACATTTATTGAAGTTCTAAATGCTAGCTTAATTACACTACACGTGTCATTTCATTTAATTTCACAGCCACAAATGACATTGATCCTCTAGTTATTCCCGTTTATTAGAGAAGGTAAACCTTCTAGAGATGATGTGATTTGTCGAAGATCACCAGAGTTAAGAGGCCAGAACATTAAGATTCTACAATTTGTTAATGAATTTGCCCTACTAGTGAGACTACTTTCATAAGTTTTCATGAGAGTAATTACTGTCCTTTTGCTTCCAGTTTAAGCTCTCTCCCTTTACCAATTCTTGTAAGGCTGGTCTACTGGATAAATTCCTCCAGCTTTCTTGTCTAGAAAAGGCGTTATTTCTCCTTCACTTCTGAAGGATAGCTTTATTGGGTACAATATCACAGATTGGCAGTTTGTTTTTTTCCAGCACTTTGACTATATCATTCTAATCTCCCCCTTGCCTAAAAGATTTTTTTCTGAGAAATCTGCTGATAGTCTAACAAGTATTCCCCTATATGTGACTTGACACTTGTGCTGTTACAATTTTTGTTTTTGACTTTAGACAATTTGATTATAATGTGCTTTGAGAGGATCTCTTTGGCTTGAATCTGTTTGGAATTCTTTGAACTTTACGGATCTGGATTTCTATATGCCTTTCAAGACTTGGGAAGTTTTCAGCTATTGTTTGTTAAATAAACTTTTGTCCCCTTCTCCCCCAGTGTCTTCTTCCTCTGTCATTTTAGTAATGAAGAAAATGCATTCCCTGGATGGTATCTCATAAGTCCTGTATGCTTTCTTTTACCTTTTTATTCCTTTACTTTTCCTCATTATTTCAAAAGGCCTGTCTTCAAGTTCAGAATTTTTTCTTCTGCTTTATCTGGTTCACTGTCGAAGATCTCAATTGTATTTTTTTTTTATCTCATTAATTGAATCCTTCAGCTCCAAGATTTATTGTTTGGTTGCTTTTTATGATATCTATCTCTTTTAAGAAATTTCTCATTCAGATCATGAATTGTTTTCCTTGTTTCATGAATTATCTTGTTCTCTTATATCTGAATGAGTAACAAAGATATAAAATATTTCGAATTCCTTTCCAGGAGTTTGTAAATTTCTTTTGGAATCATTTATAGGGTAATTATTGTGTTTTCTTTGGTAAAATTATTTCCTTGCTTTTTCACAAATCTTGTGTCCGCATTAATAATCTGTGCATCTGGTGGAATGTTTCCTCCTCTAATTTTATGGAGTGGCTTTTTGCAGAGAAAGACTTTCACGCACAGATATGTCCTGTGGTGTCTACTGGCAGGATACATTGGCTTGGTCAGAGCACTCATAGTATAGTCTTCATGCAACGTTTCAGTTTTAGTCAATAAAAACCTATAATCGTCTCATAACGTAGGCATTGAATTTGTGTGGCTGGTCCATGCTCAGCAAGCTCCCTAAAAGAGGATACAGAGGCTGTTTTTTGTATTCCATGAACATTAACTACATCAGATACAAGACTCACCTGTTCCTTGGGAGGCAAGGTGCCATGTAGATTCAAGGTACCAAGGTAAATGCACAACCATACGCTAAGTACCAAATCAGGGTATTGTACCCACTGGGGGTAAAAAGGGTAATGGAGATGTCCTAAGCAGCCGGTTTCCAGGGTAGGAGAGCTAACAAGTTCAGTTGGGAAATGGTGCACTAATATATGTGACATGGTGTAATGGGGTGGGACCTCCCAGGTGACTAGGAGATGCAGTAGCTTCTGCCCCA